TCCTAGATGCCCAGCCCCCATTCGCTCCCCAGACACCCTCCAGAACCCCCAGACCCCATTCACCACCCAGACACCCCCCCCCCCTCCCAGATCCCCAGAGAAAGGGTGAACTCTGGTACCAATGCTTCCAAGAAGAGTCTCAAGGTTTGGTATACCAATGCTGGTGGGGTAACTAATAAAGCAGAAGAGGTAAAAGAAAGAAATAGTGAGGCAGATCCTGATATAATTGCAATAGTGGAAACTAAAATAAATGGCATGATCTGGGATGCAATCTTTCCAGAGGGGTACCAGGTGATAAGAAAAGAAAGGACACAAGAGACAGGGAGGGGGAGAGGCACTCCTAATAAAGTGCAAATGAAAGTTTGAAAACCTGAAAAAATCGGGATAGCAATGAGAGCACAAGCTCCATACATGGAACTCTGACAGTAAATTGGAAGAAGATTGTGATCTTGGTAATCTACAATCCCCCACCAAACAGTAGAAGACCCAGGCAGGAGTATGATGTCAACAAGGCATGCATAGATGAACTGCAGAAGGCAGCAATATTAGCTCACAGAATGAGCGCGGAACTGCTGGTCATGGGTGACCTATATCATAGAGGTAAATTGGGAATCAAGGAATCCCCATGGCGGGGAAGAAACGTGGGGAGCAAAGTTAGTAGATGTTATAGACAGAAATTTCCTAACACAACATGTGAAAAAAGACACAAGAGAAAGAGGAGGGGATACACCGAGCCTATTAGACCTGATTTTCACCCAGAACGTATTAGACATCGAGAATTTGGAACATGAAATACCTCTAGGGGCCAGTGACTATTGTGTCCTAGTCTTTGACTACATGATGGAACTCAAACTTTGTGACCAAGGGACAAGAGGTCTGGGAAAGGAGAGTTGACTACGGGAAAGGGGACTACAGGAGTATAAGGGACTATAGGAGTATAAGGGACTACAGGAGTATAAGGGACTACAGGAGTATAAGGGACTCTCTGGGAGAAGTGCAGTGGGAGGAAGAAATTAAAGGAAAAACAGTCCAAGATATGATGGACCTAGTCACACGGAAATGCCAGGAGGCCGAAGAGAGATTTATACCAACAGTAGAGGTAACAGCGTTTTTTGCCCGAAACGCTTTGCGTAATAGTGGCTTTAGGCATTGTATGTACTAGCTCTATCTATAAATCTAACAATTTTTGTAAAACCTCTTGTATGTATGTACTTTACCTGAATAAACATTTATTTATTTATTTTACATTTAAAGGAAAAAGTAAGGGGGAATATAATAACCCATGGTTTAAAGGGCAGTGTCAGGAAGCAAAACTGAGGAGGAGGAGGGAGTGGAGGAAGTACAGAAGACAAAGGACAAGGGACAACAGGATCAGATGCAACAGAGCTAGGAAGAATACATTAACATAAGAAGAGTATTGGAATGAAATTATGAGAACGATATTGCGATCAAAGCAAAAAAGCAACGTAAATTACTACACAGCCATATAAGAAGAAAAATGTCGGTGAACGACCAAGTGACAAGACTTAAGAAAACAGAGGGGGCTTTTTTTTTTTTTTTTTTTTTTTTTATTAAGTTATGAGGTACATCTGCATTAGTGCAGCTACCCTAGACTATATGAAGTGGAGTACAGTGTGTCAAAAAAGCTAACTAGGTGATGCTATAAAATCCCCATCACACAGGATGGTTAGTCATACAGAGGCATGTGATAAGCGGTCTGCACTGGCAGACTCCGGATGCATTTTGAGGATATCAACAACACAAGATTGAATAAGGTAGCAGTGGTAATACAAGTCCCCATCTCGCAGGATGGTTAGTCATACAGGGCCATGTGTTTAATAGCCTGCACTGGCAAATTTTGGGTATACTGTGAGGATATCTTCAAGAATACGAGAGTGAATAAAGTAATTGCAAAGCTCCAGGTAACTCATGCCAACTGGTCTGAAAGGTCTAATAACTGGGCATTCAGTGATGTAGTGCGGGAGATCATGCCGTAGTTCCTGCTCACAGAGTTTGCAACTGGAGTGCTCAGGATTGGGAGACCCGTCACCTGCAGCCACCTGCCACAGGTAACGGTAACCCAACCTGATCCTTGCAACCACTGTGTCGCACAGTCTAGTGGACGTTTTGTGCTGTCCATAGATGTAGGTTTCAGATCTGAACAAATCATAGCTTTTTATACTAGTACTTTCAGGTCGTTGGGAGTCAGTAAGTTCTTTCCTATCAGATCTGAATGTTTGGACCAATACAGTTTTGACAGCAGAGATGGGGATACCTAGATCTAATTCAACTTCAAACTTGTTACACGCTAATTTGGCTGCAATGTCTGTCTCATTATGATGGGTTATATTTATGTGTGAAGGTATCCATACAAAGGAGATTCGAGACCCTTTACTCTGTGCATCAATTAGGTCATTTATAATTGGGAGTATTAGGTTCTTGCTGTCGATCTTCCAGAGGGTTAACAGAGGGGGCATATACAGGAAGTGACAAGGAAATCTGCGGACACTAAATGCCAGTTTCATTGGAGTGTCCACAACCGAGCCTGAGCAGCTCCCATTGTTAGAAGAGATTACCCTAGATGGAAGACTATCAAATAAAGACTAACAGATATAGACTCCTCTGCTGTCTCCTCTGACAGTAGAGGTGGTAATGAAACAGTTGACAACACTGGATGCAACTAAAGCGGTTGGACCAGACAAAGTATTACTATGGATACTAAAAGAGGCAGCGCAGGCCCTCAGCGTGGGCCGGCAAGGATCTTTTATGAATCACTTATGTCGGGAGAATTGCCCAATTGCTGGAAGAGGGCAAATGTTGTACCAATATTCAAGAAAGGTGATAGGGAGGAGGCACTAAACTACAGACCTGTATCACTGACAAGCATCCCCTGTAAAATACTGGAAAGAATAATTAGTCTAAGACTGGTTGCACACCTGGAGAACATTAGATTTGTAAACAAACATCAACATGGGTTATGGAAAGAGAAATCTTCCTTAACAAATCTTTTGGAATTCTATGATAAAATAACGAGGATAAGGCAGTAGAGAAGGTTGGGCAGACTGCATATTTCTGGACTGTTAAAAAGCCTTTGATACAGTACTGCACACGAGACTACTATTCAAACTTGAGAGGCAGGCGGGAGTGAGCGACCTAACAGGAAAGAGCCAGAGGGTTACGGTAAGGGGCGAGAAGTCCGACTGGCGAACAGTTACGAGTGGAGTACCTCAAGGATCGGTGCTGGGACCAATTCTATTTTTAATATACGTTAACAACATGTTTACAGTTGTAGAATCCTACATGTCGATGTTCGCGGATGATGCAAAGTTGATGAGAAGAGTTGTGACAGATGAAGATTGTAGGATCCTCCAAGAGGACTTGAACAGGTTGCAGAGATGGTCAGTGAAATGGATACTAGAGTTCAACACAAGCAAATGTAAAATTATGGAAATGGGGCTAGGTAATTGGAGACCAAAGGGACAGTACACAATGAAGGGGAACTACCTACCTGTGACGACACAAGCAAGAGACCTGAACGTGGACGTAACACCTATTCTAACTCCTGAGACACATACAAATGGGATATCGACAGCAGCGTACTCTACACTGGCAAAAGTTTGAACATTCTGAAACCTAAGTAAGGAGGCATTTAGGGTGCTTTACACTGTCTACGTGAGGCCAGTTTTAGAGTATGCCGCCCTATCATGGAGTCCCCACCTGAAGAAACACACAAGGAAACTGGAAAAGGTTCAGAAGTTTGCAACAAGACTCGTCCCAGTGTTACGAAGAATCGGGTATGAAGACCACCTGAAGGAACTGAGCCTTACGACACTAGAAAAAAGCGGGAGAAGGGAGGATATGATAGGAACGTATAAAATACTCAGGTGGATTGACAGAGTGGATATAGACGAAATGTTAGCACTGAGTAGTACCAGAACGAGGGGACATGGGTGGAAGCTGAAAACTCAGACGAGTCACAGAGATGTTAGGAAGCTCTCTTTTAGCGTAAGAGTAGTGGAAAAATGCAATGTACTTAAGGAGCAGGTGGTGGGAGCAAATTCTATTCATAATTTTAAAACTAGGTATGATAGGATCGGAGTCATTGCTGTAAACAACCGATGGCTTGAAAGGCGGGATCCAAGAGTCAATGCTTGATCCTGCAGACACAAATAGGCGAGTCCAAATAGGAGACTGTATATATACACACACACACACACACACACTAGTTCTTACTTCCTGACTCGACAAAACGAATTATATCCGACCATTCAAACAATTCATCCACCAAAGGTAGCAGATTAATAATTGAATTACTTCACACAAAATGTCAATAAGCAATTTACAGAAGATAAATGCTTATAACAGCTTGATCTCTCACATTAAATTTTCAGGTACGAAAGGTATACAAAAGAAACCTTTTTATCACTTTCCAAATACCCTTTAGCACTTAAGTTTGCCTTAAAACGCTCTAGAGTCCTTTAGGCCTACTTCATGAAACGCATATAAACGTCCTATTGAAAAACAATTAAGAAAATTCATTCAAACCTAGTAATTTATAGCCTTTTTGCATCCTAGTAAACCAATGTACACAAACTGCGGTACTCTCTTACTCCTGTAAACCAGTGTACCTTACGCACAATGTACACATCTTTCATGTCTAAGTCTACAACCACAACAGTGAAGCCGTAAGAGGCAAGAACCCCGGTGTAGAAGTCTTGGTTGGAAAGTTAGTTGTAGGCCACCTTCGAGACGAGAACACCCTGTGAGTGGCGTCCACACTCACTGAGTGGCGTCCACACTCACTGAGTGGCGTCCACACTCACCGAGTGGCGTCCACACTCACTGAGTGGCGTCCTCATACAGTCTAGAGAGACATACGGTCATTTATTACCATAATGCTATTCCCTATCTCAAAATTTCTGCCCTGTGTAAACTGTCTTCACTAAAACACAAAAAAGTCACTCTGATTGGTTGAAATCAAGTGCACAAGGACCACTTACCTGACGAGTTAACTGGCCACTGTAGCAGTTAGGTCATCAGCCTCCACACCGCTGCATTATCTGCCCTCACACACACTCACCACCACACACACACAAACATAAACAAACACGTGCCTCCGGGGGACAGCAGCGCGGGCTGTGTGTCAGTCACTGGCAGGGGAAAGTAGTTCTCCAGAGTGCCAAAGGAACCTGGCAGCGAGTAGATTAAGAGAGGAAAGGAGAACAGTGTAAGATAGACAGAGATCTCCCCCGTCTAGAGGAGATAGGTAGAGAGAGTGAGTGAGAGAGAGAAGCGGAGAGACTCGGCACTGCCCGTCACGACACTGAGATTAGAGAGTTACAGAGTCTCCGTGGGGTGCTCTATGTCACCATCACACGAGCAACTGAATACCACAACCCTCCTGAACCACCAGTCAGTCAGTACTGGGGAGACGGCACCCGCTCAGCTCCCCCCCCCACCCCACAACCCCCACCCCTTCCGTTCCCCCTCCCCCCACGCACACTTTCACTGGTAACAACAAAGAGGCAATCCCCGGACCGGTTGGCGATGGTGGGGGGGAGGAGTGGGAGGTCACCGGGTGGGTGGGGGTCAGAGGTGGGGTTACGCCCCGTGAGAGTTACGGGAGAGAGGCCCCGAGCAGGTGTGTTTGTGGGGGGGGTGTGAGGGGGGACTAGGTCACAGGTGGAAAGGGGCAGTGCAGGGGTCAGGGGAAGGAATGGGGAGAGGAGTTAGTGGGGGATAATGGGTCAAGAAGATGGTCAAGCTGCGGTCAGAAATGTAACCCACACGCGCCAGGGGTGAGCGCTGACCCCACACGCGCACCATGGGTCAGCGCTGACCCCACGCGCACCATGGGTGAGCGCTGACCCCACACACGCACCAGGGGTCAACCCCGACCCTCTCCTTCAAGCTCTCCCTCCTTCTTTACTGCTATACCCCCCCCCCTTGTTCACACCAATTAAACCACTTAACCCTCGTTTAGCTACAACCAAACCATCGTCACAACCAATTAGAGCCAAATAAAGCCTGTGCAATTATGGTAACGTGAAGCTGTGATGTATTTTACAAGTACATCTCGTTTGCATATTATTATTAATATATATAAATTGATTTTTTGTGGCCAAAGACATGTTTGGTGCGGATTATGGTGGCGGACCTCCGAGGTGTGGCCCCAGGGGATAACTGATTAGTATTTTGTGTTATCTTGATATCTTAACAGTTGGTTGCTGGTGGAGCTCTCTCATGCTTTCACTTCTGTGCTCACTCTCATTCCTGGCCTCACTCCTGTGTCATAAATGACACATACATTAACACTTACTCTGAAAGAAACAAAAGAAAACAACAAACATGCACACACACACACACACACACACACACACACACACACACACACACTCACACACACTCACACACACTCACACACACTCACACACACTCACACACACTCACACACACTCACACACACACACACACACACTCACACACACACACTCACACACACACACTCACACACACACACTCACACACACACACTCACACACACACACTCACTCACACACACACACTCACACACACACACTCACACACTCACACTCACACACTCACACTCACACACTCACACTCACACTCCAGGAAGCAGACTCCATACACAGTTTCAAGTATAAATATGATAGAGCCCAAAAGGCTCAGAAACCTGTACACCAGTTGATTGATAGTTGAGAGGCGGGACCAAAGAGCCGAAGCTCAACCCCTGCATGCACAACTAGGTGAGTACACACAATCACTAACTCTACCACCTCTCTCCTAAACTCACTACAGCCTTGAACGTTTCATTATGTACATCTTTGCCAGATGAAAGTGGCCGTTGCATAAAAATTTATGAATGCGCTTCGTAGCCAAAGGCGTATAACACCAGTACGCTTCCTGTATAATCCGAACAATTTTCCTGTTCGCCCCTCATATAATCCGAACCCCTCTCCTACCGCTTCCCATGTAATCCGAACCCCTCGTCTAGCGCTCTCCATATAATCCGAACCCCTCTCCTACGCACCCCATATAATCCGAACGCCTCACCTACGTTCTCCACAGAATACAAACCAGTCTCTCATACTCCTTGTATAATCCGAACCCTTCTACTCCCCGTATAATTCGAACCCTTCTCCTACGGTCCCCGTATAATCCAAATCCCTCTCCTACGCTCCCCAAATAATACAAACCCCTCTCCTATGCTCTCCGTATAATCCGAACCCCTCTCCTACGCTCCCCGTATAATACAAACCCTTCTCCTATGCTCCCCGTATAATACGAACCCCTCTCCTACGCTCCCCGTATAATCCGAATTCTTCTCCTACGCTCCCCGTATAATCCGAACTCCTCTCCTATGCTCCCCATATAATCCGAACCCCTCTCCTACGCTCCCCATATAATCCGAACCCCTCTCCTACGCTCCCCATATAATCCGAACCCCTCTCCTATACTCCCTGTATAATCCGAACCATTCTACAACGGAACCGCAGAAAATCGTAAGTCGGCCTGGGTGATACACACTCCTGCTAACAGGAACGGAAATACAGGAATGGGGCCACGGGAACAAGAATACAGAAACGTGGATAGATGAAATAGAGAGACACAGGCACAGAGCTAAAGGAACAGGGATACAGGAAGAAGGATAAAGGAACTAGAATATAGGAAGAGAGGATACAGGAATGGGGGCCACAGAAACCGAGACATAGGGGCCCCCAGGAACAGTCACACAGTGTACTATACACGTCTCCAATTTGGGAGATGGGGAATAAGGAGATAAGTGAGGAAAAGAAAGAAAGAATAATTGAAGAACGCATGGAAGGTGGAGGTAATAGGTGAGGAATAAGGGGGGAGGGGGGCGGTGAAGATAAGGAAATTGAAGGAGATATGGAAAGGAACGGATATAGGGAGGGGGAAATGGGGGACACATAGAAGAGGAAGGAAGGCGGTAAGAAGTAGGGGAAAGAAAGGGTGTGAGAGAGAGGGGTGGGGGGAGAGAGGGGGGCGGGGGAAGGAAGAGGTGGAGAAGGGGAAGCTAGGTAACACCCCCCCCCCCACCCCGGTGATAATAACAGTCAAATTGCTACACTGGAAAATATGGAACGTAACGGACTTGAAATAAAAAGACAGAAACGGAAAGTAGTGCAGACAGTCAGTGACAGGTGAGGAACTGTTAGACCGGGGACTAGTAGACAGTCAGTGACAGGTGAGGAACTATTAGTCTGGGGACTAGTAGACTGTCAGTGACAGGTGAGGAACTATTAGTCTGGGGACTAGTAGACTGTCAGTGACTGGTGAGGAACTATTAGTCTGGGGACTAGTAGACTGTCAGTGACTGGTGAGGAGCTATTAGACTGGGAACTAGTAGACAGTCAGTGACAGGTGAGGAACTATTAGACTGAGGAAGGGATGACAGACACAAGGTGACAGGTGAAGAAATATTAGACAGGGGAGCCTATCTGTCACCAATAAACAAGGGTGACAGAGGTCGTCCGAACAGAGGCCGTCAGCGAAGCACTCTTTGCAACCCGTCCTCGACTCAAGTCCATTACATCCAGCGGTCGACCCCACAGACGCATTCATAAATTTTAACTTGCTGTTCATTCAAAACGGGAATTTTCTCAAGTATAAATTAATATTATAATATATTAGTATATTGTGCATATATAGGCATAGGTTAGGTTAGGTGTTTAGGTTCTGTTGGCGATTATTTGTATTTGTAGTACGTGGGTGAAGCATTTATAGCGTTGTGATTCGAACAAAATACGTCAGTGAAGCACTTGTTCCGGATATGTTCGAACTTCAGCAGTTGTGAGTCGTGTGTAAATCGCTTTTCATTCATAAACAGGGAGGGGGGTTTGGCAGGTGCATGGAATCACTTTTGGGTCTTTGTTTGGAGGACGGGCTGACTCATAAACAAAGACCCAAAGTCCATTCCATGCATCCGCCAAACCCCCTGTTTATGAATGAAAAACGGTTTAACCACGACTCATAACTGATGACATCCGAACACTTCAAAAAATAATAATAACACCATATATTATTATTTTTGTAATATTAGATTAGGTTTGGTTTGGTTAGGCACGGTTAGGTTGGGTTGAGTTAATTTAGGTTATTTTGGGTTGGGTTGGGATGGGTTGGCTTGGGTTACGTTGGGTTGGTTTAGATTGGGTTTTAGGTTACGTTAAGTTTGTTTATAGAGAAATCATGACGTAAACGGGTACATACTTTCCTCAGATATTGGACCCTACTCGCCTGAAGATGGTTTGTGTGTAAATTGTCTTCCATTCGCAAATAGAGGGTTTTGATTTATGTATTCTGCCAAAGGTTCCGACGCTTCTGGATAGGCAATACCAACTCGAAATTTGGCACCTCTGGAAGACAAGGTATGCATTTCTTCCAGATCGTTTTTACACCTCAAATAGCTGCCGAGACCTACAGATACCTGCTGATACCTGAAGACACGAGTTTGAGTTCCACCAAAGTACTCTTGGAGCTACCTTTATGTCGAAGGACCTGACAGGCCCTGTGGCATGACTCCTCGTTTCCTAATGCCTCAACACGACACTATGTTCCCAACAGACTTGTAGATTTCACCAGGTACACGGCACGTGGTGTCTAAGACCTGTTCAAGACTGGGGATACACTAAGCATTCTTAAGACCTGAATATCGCACCAGTTGCCCCAAAGACATGTACTCTGCAAAATGTGTTTAATATCTGTATACTACACTACACTACACTACACTACACTAAGGATACCCAAGACCTGCACAAGACACTCATACTACGCTAGATACCACAAAAAGAGTCGTACACAAGACCTACTCTTGGTTTGAATAATGAGCTAACATTCTCGTTTAAGTCCTCAAGCCAGTATATTATTGTGTGTGTTGGAACGAATATATTTGTTTTTCCCAAATAGGTATTGGCGTTGAAGACAGGTGGCAGCGAGCGCCGCATGGTGGTGATTATCGATTGGTGTCCCAGGCTCTCCCGTGCCTCGTCGAATGTTAGGAGGAAAGATATACAATAGATGCAGGCAGGGAGTAACGAATACAGACAGGCAAACAGGTAGATAGGCAAAAGGAAGAAAGGAACCCCTGTACCACTGCAGGTGCATTCCTGTACCTGCAGTGTTCACGGACTTCCCGCACGGACCCACAAATGGATATAAAACTTAAAGTCAGTCAGATATCGAGAGGAAGAACCCAAAAGCTTGGCACTCAACGTTGAAAGCACATCTAAGTAGGTAAGTAGAGATAGGAAGTAACTCCTATTTCCCCCCCCCCCCTTGGTGTTTGGTAGCTTCAGGCGCCAACAGATGGCTCTGGATCAGTTACTACTATTCCCTGCGTTCGTATAAGCCGTCGTGGCCAGGGGCCAGATTCACGAAGCAGTTACGCAAGTACTTACGAACGTGTACATCTTTCCTCAATCTTTGACGGCTTTGGTTACATTTATTAAACAGTTTACAAGCATGAAAACTTGCCAATCAACTGTTGTTATTGTTATAAACAGCCTCCTGGTGCTTCGGAGCTCATTAACGGTTTAATAATTGTAAACAAAGCCGCCAAAGATTGAGAAAAGATTTTCAGGTCAGTAAGTGCTTACGTTACTGCTTCGTGAATCTAGCCCCAGGATTTATCTTGAGATTATCTTGAGATAATTTCGGGGCTTTAGTGTCCCCGCGGCCCGGTCCTTGACCAGGCCTCCACCCCCAGGAAGCAGCCCGTGACAGCTGACTAACACCCAGGTACCTATTTTACTGCTAGGTAACAGGGGCATAGGGTGAAAGAAACTCTGCCCATTGTTTCTCGCCGGCGCCCGGGATCGACCCCGGGACCACAGGATCACAAGTCCAGCGTGCTGTCCGCTCGGCCGGCCCCCAGGATGGCTTAAGACATAATACGGACATAAGCCATCAGACATCAACATGATGGAACTGACAATGGCTTGATGTTTTGGGGTCTCCGTAGTACAATCGGATTCGTTCGCGAGGCACAATCGTGAATTCCGGGTTCGAATCTCGGGCGGGACAGAAATGGTTGGGCACATTTATTTTCACCTAATGGCTCTGTTCACCTAGCAGCAAGTTGGTAGGTACTCAGGAGTTAGTCAACTTCTTGTGGGGGGGGGGCGGGGTCCGCAATTCGACCCTGAAAAGGGGGTAGGGGGGGCACCTCAATAAAAGCCTAACGTGTATGAACACACTCTGGCTTCCTGTCCCCTCGACACAGTGAATTACTAATTATTATCTATCAGACAATGACAAGAACGAAATTGACTTCATCTATCAGCCAAAGATTTAATCTATCAGACCAAGAATAGATCAAACTGATAATGGTTTGATCTATCAGACCAGGACTTGATCAACCTGGTGAGGACTTGCTCTGTCAGACCAAGTCCTGCATCAAGTCCAGCAGGAGCCATACTGTGACGTGGGGAGGGGGCCGGGGAGGGGAAGGGAAGAAGGGAAGGGGGGAGGGAGAAGGCGAGGGGGGGGGGGAAGGGAAGGGAAGGGAAGGTGGGGGGAGGGGGGGGTGAAACACGTCCATGAAATACTTTCAATTAGAGGAGAAAGTTCTGGACGGAGAGTGAGTTTACCAGAGAGTGCGCTGCGCTGGTGGGTGCGCACCCCCGTCTCCGTCTTCTTAGTAGTAGTAGTGCGCAGTTCTGTTGTCTGCGCACCTCCGCCTGCGCACCAACACTCACCTGTAACCAAAAAAAAAAAACACTTTAGTTCCGTTATCCTCCAGCACACATGACTGACAGAGCCCAACAGGCTCTACCTACAACTTACACACCAGTTGATTGACCTTAGAGAGCCGCGACCAAAAACAATCGAAGCTCAACTCCCGCAAAGCACAATTAGGTGAATACTAACGGATATAGCTCAAGAAATTAAGGAAACTTCTTATATCCATATACCACCAGTTTCATATACCACCAGTTTCATATACCACCAGTTTCATATTCCACCAGTTTCATATACCACCAGTTTCATATACCACCAGTTTCATATACCACCAGTTTCATATACCACCAGTTTCATATTCCACCAGTTTCATATACCACCAGTTTCATATATCACCAGTTTCATATACCACCAGTTTCATATTCCACCAGTTTCATATACCACCAGTTTCATATTCCACCAGTTTCATATACCACCAGTTTCATATACCACCAGTTTCATATTCCACCAGTTTCATATATCACCTTCAAACTAAACAAAAAAACAATACTTGGCTTCCATCTACCATCAATATAGGGTACCAGGTGTTCCTCAGAGCTCTTCCTCCATGAACCTACATATATATGTGTAGCCCTTCATATATATGTGTAGCCCTTCATATATATGTGTAGCCCTTCATATGTATGTGTAGCCCTTCATATGTATGTGTAGCCCTTCATATGTATGTGTAGCCCTTCATATGTATGTGTAGCCCTTCATATGTATGTGTAGCCCTTCATATGTATGTGTAGCCCTTCATATGTATGTGTAGCCCTTCATATGTATGTGTAGCCCTTCATATGTATGTGTAGCCCTTCATATGTATGTGTAGCCCTTCATATATATGTGTAGCCCTTCATATATATGTGTAGCCCTTCATATATATGTGTAGCCCTTCATATGTATGTGTAGCCCTTCATATGTATGTGTAGCCCTTCATATATATATGTGTTATAGGCCAACGGGTAATTATTGTTGTAATCAATACATCGTCATCCTCTATAATTCCTGTATTTTCGGGGGAAATAATTTTCCCTGGAACACGACCCACGAGTCTGTTTACCACCAGGAACTGCTACCTGCTGGGTGAACAGAGGCGAACAATTAATGATTAGCGGGCAAACTCCCTGGCCAGGACTCGAACCCCGCGACCAAAATCGCTTGGGGGGATGCGCGGGTTGAGTGTGTGACCACTGCGCCATCTGGGACCGTTGATGAGAGAGATAAACACTAGGGGTGAGAACAGTTTGGGCAACCTCATCCCATTGTGCGTAATTTACACCCCAATAAACTGATTTCAATTTCAATGTCTATGCAAAAAATATAAAATTAAACTAGTCTACATTCAAGTTCACTTGGAGAAAATTAATCCATTTATAGATAGATTTAAATTTGACTTTCTCGAAACACTACGCGTGGTAGCCGGCCTTGTTAGCGTGGTAGCCGGCCTTGTTAGCGTGGTAGCCGGCCTTGTTAGCGTGGTAGCCGGCCTTGTTAGCGTGGTAGCCGGCCTTGTTAGCGTGGTAGCCGGCCTTGTTAGCGTGGTAGCCGGCCTTGTTAGCGTGGTAGCCGGCCTTGTTAGCGTGGTAGCCGGCCTTGTTAGCGTGGTAGCCGGCCTTATTAGCGTGGTAGCCGGCCTTGTTAGCGTGGTAACCGGCCTTGTTTGTGTGGTAGCCGGCCTTGTTAGCGTGGTAGCTGGCCTTGTTAGCGTGGTAGCCGGCCTTGTTAGTGTGGTAGCTGGCCTTGCCAGGGTGGTAGCCGGCCTTGTTAGTGTGGTAGCTGGCCTTGCCAGGGTGGTAGCCGGCCTTGTTAGTGTGGTAGCTGGCCTTGCCAGGTTGGTAGCCGGCCTTGTTAGTGTGGTAGCTGGCCTTGCCAGGGTGGTAGCCGGCCTTGTTAGTGTGGTAGCTGGCCTTGCCAGGGTGGTAGCCGGCCTTGTTAGTGTGGTAGCAGGCCTTGCCAGGGTGGTAGCCGGCCTTGTTAGTGTGGTAGCTGGCCTTGCCAGGGTGGTAGCCGGCCTTGTTAGTGTGGTAGCTGGCCTTGCCAGGGTGGTAGCCGGCCTTGTTAGTGTGGTAGCTGGCCTTGCCAGGGTGGTAGTCGGCCTTGTCAGTGTGGTAGCCGGCCTTGCTAGCGTGGTAACCGGCCTTGCCAGCGTGGTAGCCGGCCTTGCCAGCGTGGTAGCCGGCCTTGCCAGCGTGGTAGCCGGCCTTGCTAGCGTGGTAGCCGGCCTTGCTTGCGTGGTAGCCGGCCTTGCCAGTGTGGTAGCCGGCCTTGTTAGTGTGGTAGCTGGCCTTGCCAGGGTGGTAGCCGGCCTTGTTAGTGTGGTAGCTGGCCTTGTTAGTGTGGTAGCTGGCCTTGCCAGGGTGGTAGCCGGCCTTGTTAGTGTGGTAGCCGGCCTTGTTAGTGTGGTAGCTGGCCTTGCTAGCGTGGTAGCCGGCCTTGTTAGTGTGGTAGCTGGCCTTGCCAGGGTGGTAGCCGGCCTTGTTAGTGTGGTAGCCGGCCTTGTTAGTGTGGTAGCTGGCCTTGCTAGCGTGGTAACCGCCCTTGCCAGCGTGGTAGCCGGCCTTGCCAGCGTGGTAGCCGGCCTTGTCAGCGTGGTAGCCGGCCTTGCCAGCGTGGTAGCCGGCCTTGTCAGCGTGGTAGCCGGCCTTGTCAGCGTGGTAGCCGGCCTTGCCAGCGTGGTAGCCGGCCTTGCCAGTGTGGTAGCCGGCCTTGCCAGTGTGGTAGCCGGCCTTGCTAGCGTGGTAGCCGGCCTTGTCAGCGTGGTAGCCGGCCTTGTCAGCGTGGTAGCCGGCCTTGCCAGCGTGGTAGCCGGCCTTGTCAGCGTGGTAGCCGGCCTTGCCAGTGTGGTAGCCGGCCTTGCTAGCGTGGTAGCCGGCCTTGCCAGTGTGGTAGCCGGCCTTGCTAGCGTGGTAGCCGGCCTTGCTAGCGTGGTAGCCGGCCTTGCTAGCGTGGTAGCCGGCCTTGCTAGCGTGGTAGCCGGCCTTGCCAGTGTGGTAGCCGGCCTTGCCAGCGTGGTAGCTGGCCTTGCTAGCGTGGTAGCCGGCCTTGCCAGTGTGGTAGCCGGCCTTGCCAGTGTGGTAGCTGGCCTTGCCAGCGTGGTAGCCGGCCTTGCTAGCGTGGTAGCCGGCCCTGCCAGTGTGGTAGCCGGCCTTGCTAGCGTGGTAGCCGGCCTTGCTAGCGTGGTAGCCGGCCTTGCCAGTGTGGTAGCCGGCCTTGCTAGCGTGGTAGCTGGCCTTGCCAGCGTGGTAGCCGGCCTTGCTAGCGTGGTAGCCGGCCCTGCCAGTGTGGTAGCCGGCCTTGCTAGCGTGGTAGCCGGCCTTGCTAGCGTGGTAGCCGGCCTTGCCAGTGTGGTAGCCGGCCTTGCTAGCGTGGTAGCCGGCCTTGCTAGCGTGGTAGCCGGCCTTGCCAGCGTGGTAGCCGGCCTTGTTAGTGTTGTAGCCGGCCTTGCCAGTGTGGTAGCCGGCCTTGCTAGCGTGGTAGCCGGCCTTGCCAGCGTGGTAGCCGGCCTTGTTAGTGTTGTAGCCGGCCTTGCCAGTGTGGTAGCCGGCCTTGTCAGTGTGGTAGCCGGCCTTGTCAGTGAGGTAGCCGGCCTTGTCAGTGAGGTAGCCGGCCTTGTCAGTGAGGTAGCCGGCCTTGTCAGTGAGGTAGCCGGCCTTGCCAGCTTGGTAGCCGGCCTTGTCAGTGAGGTAGCCGGCCTTGTCAGTGAGGTAGCCGGCCTTGTCAGTGAGGTAGCCGGCCTTGTCAGTGAGGTAGCCGGCCTTGTCAGTGAGGTAGCCGGCCTTGCCAGTGTGGTAGCCGGCCTTGCTAGCGTGGTAGCCGGCCTTGCCAGTGTGGTAGCCGGCCTTGTTAGCGTGGTAGCCGGCCTTGCCAGTGTGGTAGCCGGCCTTGCCAGCGTGGTAGCCGGCCTTGCCAGCTTGGTAGCCGGCCTTGCCAGCCTGGTAGCCGGCCTTGCCAAGATGAACCACTAACAAAAACCTTTAAATCAATCAATAAAAATATTTAAAATAAATATTAAACATATAATAAATATATATCTGAAATTCTTTCGCTATCCACCTTCCGGTCAGATCTGACCTTCCGGTTAGATGACGAGTTATAGATCCCATTGCATGACCTCTACTCCTTTCTTCCGGTTAGGTTTGCAACCGTCATAACCAGCTATATGCTCCCCAAGAGTGAAAACCGGAGCGGATAGCGCTCTGTGGTTTTCGAGGACCATATATATATATATAAGCTGAAGACAGGACACTCTTAATGTCTCATATTCTTTGGTAATATATAAAAAAATTCCCGTCACCTGTATCACGTGAAACCTGGCCAGCCAGGAGTGGGCTGGGGAAGGCAGCCAGGAGTGGGCTGGGGAAGGCAGCCAGGAGTGGGCTGGGGAAGGCAGCCAGGAGTGGGCTGGGGAAGGCAGCCAGGAGTGGGCTGGGGAAGGCAGCCAGGAGTGGGCTGGGGAAGGCAGCCTGGAGTGGGCTGGGGAAGGCAGCCAACAGTAGAGAGAGAAGGGAAAGGAAGCCGAATGGCGAAAAAAAAGGCGCAAGCAGAAATTGGCGAGTGATAGCCTGATTGAGGGAAAGCAAGCAGACGGCGCGGCAGGCAGGCAGGCAGGCAGACATATCTTATATTGAGGTTATCTTGAAATGATTTCGGGGCTTAGCGTCCCCGCGGCCCGGTCCTCGACCAGGCCTCCTTTTTGTTACACACCCCCAGGAAGCAAGCAGCCCGTAGCAGCTGTCTAACTCCCAGGTACCTATTTACTGCTAGGTAACAGGGGCATCAGGGTGAAAGAAACAATTTGTCCATTTGTCTCAGTGTCCACCAGCACCTACGGGCTCACCATAGCCCGTGCTACTTGGAACTTTGTTCCAGGTAGCGAATCTTAAATAACAACAGGGATCGAACCCGGAACCTCAGGACTATGAATCCGAAGCGCTGTCTACCCAGCTGTCAGGCGCCCATGTAGATGGGCAGTCAGGGTGAGCGGCTAGTTCTCTCATCTCTCATCTCTCACCTCCCGCCCCCCCTCACTTCTCACACAACCACCTCCCTCACTCATAATCAGTGAGTACGCTCATGTTTTTTTTTTTTTTTTTTAGTTTTCCCGCAGACAGAAGCGCAACAGCATGCGCAGCCAGCTCACAAATGCATACTGAATTAGACGTCTGAATTCGCAGCACTTCCTAACAACACCTAATGCCTCTGTTCACCTAGCAGTAAATACGTTATGCAACGGGTGTGTGGGGTTGCACCCCCTAGAGGCGGTCAGTTATAGGCCTATATAAACTCTAGGAGTGACCTGAATAAGCCTACATGGCTCCCCATCCTTCAAAATCGGAAACGAAATATTTAAAACAAACAAAACAGCATTAAAATAACAAGATTAACACCAATTAATTTAACATAACACACACACAGAGAAGAGACAATACAACAATAATATCCGCTAGTGGAAGCCAGAAAATAATAAATAATCCGGTAATTTGGGAGTGTGATAGTGACGGTTGGGAGAAGCCACGTGTGAAAGCCGTGACGTCACTGGAGAATAACGTCACCGCCGCCTTGGTCGACACACACTTCCCGCGCAAACCTTCACTTACCGACTATTATTTTTTGACTCATTAAGCCTTTCTCATTTGTTTTTCTTCATTTGTATTGTGTGTATTCCCGTTCATATTATTGTTAGTATTTTTTCCTTTATTCAGTTACAAAGTATGTAGTGCCTAGATAAAAATATATATAAAATGGAAGGGTAGTTAAACGATACATTAGTGGACCGTACTAATACGGGTTGTATGATACATTACCAGGGCGGCTTAATCTTTATCAATCAATCATCAATCCTGTAAATCCACGGGAGACATCTCCCGTCACGCAGGGTGCAGTCGCACCTCCACAGATCTCCAGTATCAGCTCTTGATACTGGTAATGGCTCAAAAGGACCACCACTTTCGAGCTATTCATGCCCGTGCCACCTTTTGGGTGGCTTAATCTTCATCAATCAATCTTTACATTACCAGTTAGCGTTAGTGTATCTTTTGAACCGTAGGGATGGTTCCAACCAGCGTCTTGGGTCCTCCTAAACACGCACCTTAAAATTTTTCTCAGATATATCACGTCATTAGGATTTCACGTCGGTGTATTGCTATACTTAGTTGCTTCGGATGATGTTGCTTTGAAGCAGGCTTAGAGCCACTGCTTTGATTAAGCTTCCACAGTTGCTGAGATAGAGACGCTGGTATCAGTTGCTGAGATAGAGATGCTGGTATCAGTTGCTGAGATAGAGATGCTGGCATCACCATCGAGATGCTCACTCATTCAGACCCTAGAGCAGGGGATCTCAACCTTTTTTTTATGATTACACTTCCCCGGCGGATTATCCAGTATATCCACCAACAAACCAATGGTTGGTCGAATAAGCAGACGGAAGTTCGGATAAGCAGAGATGTTCGGATAAGCAGACGAATGGTCGGGTAAGTGGACGAATGGTCGGATAAGTGGACGGATGGTCGGATAAGTGGACGGATGGTCGGATAAGTGGACGGATGGTCGGATAAGTGGACAGATGGTCGGATAAGAAGACGGACGGTCGGATAAGCAGATGAACGGTCGAACAAGGTGACGGACGGTCTGATCATCAGACAATCAACTCATCACTAGTCCTCTTTGGTACCAGTATAACTTCCAAAGCGGCCAATAGCTCGGATTTTACTTTGCATGTGGATAACTGGCAACAGCCCAACTGAGAGGAAATCATAAGAGGTGCTATCATCTTTATTTACAGAAAACGGCAAGTCCCGAATGCACAGAATAACTAAGGCCAGAAATTGTCTATACAGTATACCTAGTATACTGTAAAGTATACTAGGTATACTGTAAAAAGTATAAAGTATTTGTGTGTACGTCTGATACCATACTACTTGTGAAGGAGGAAATGTATATGTTCATCTCTCAGAATGTTTGGTAATATGTTTATTGTTTGTGATGTGTGTCTATGTATGTATTAACACGATGTACTGAACGGGGTGAGAATAGCTTGAGCTACCTCATCCCTTTGTGTGTATTTTACCTCAATAAACTTATTTCAATTTCAACTAAGGCCAGTGAGATTTTCGCTGTTGTTTTTGAGTAATCAAAACATAACACCTTTTTCTTTCTCTTAAATGGGTCAGAGATCGAGTCCCTTAGCTTGAGTGGGGACGAGGAGTCACAATAACGTGACTGAGGATATGATGACCAAATCACAAATTCAGAAAAAAAACCTCTTGGTAATGGTCCAGGAAGGACCGAAACACCGTCGTCGTTTCTCCAAGTTCTGATGAGTGGTTTGATCATCGTAGCCTGATGATTTGGTTCCTATCACCCCCCCCCTCAAGAGGGTATATGATAACTGTACAAACCTAACCCCCCCTTCCCCCCACCCCCCACCCCTGACCAAAAGTGGCAGGTTTAAGGCATTCACAGCTTCGACCCCTCCCTACCTTACCTAACCTACCTTACCTAACCTAACCTAAACTTACCTAACCTAACCCTACCTAACCCTACCTAACCTAACCCTACCTAACCTAACCCTACCTAACCTAACCTAACCTAACCTAACCCTACCTAACCTAACCCTACCTAACCTAACCTAACCCTACCTAACCTAACCCTACCTAACCTAACCCTACCTAACCTAACCTAACCTAACCCTACCTAACCTAACCCTACCTAACCTAACCCTACCTAACCTAACCTAACCTAACCCTACCTAACCTAACCCTACCTAACCTAACCCTACCTAACCTAACCCTACCTAACCTAACCTAACCTAACCCTACCTAACCTAACCCTACCTAACCTAACCTAGCCCTACCTAACCTAACCCTACCTAACCTAACCCTACCTAACCTAACCTAACCTAACCACTCCAATACTCAAACAGAACAATATCATACACACACAAAAGAGAACCCCTTCTCCCAGAAAACTTGACCAAACTCCAATCATCAAGAATTCGGTATATCAGTACAATAAAACAAATGACAGGTATATGGTGTGAAAAGATAACTAATTCACTAAACAAAATGAACTCAAATTTGCCGCCTGTTTGTTAAGGTAGAAGACAGCAGCTTCTGATTGGCTGGCTGCTCTTGGCTGCTTCTTGTTCTATTGAGACCTAACGATCCAGCGGGCGGCCGGACAAGCGGATAGCTGTACCTCTGAATGGATAGACCAGCAGACAGATAGACCAGTGAGTGGACAGTTCAATGTAACCACAGACCAGCGGATGGACAGACCAGTGGACGGGCAGGCAGGCAGGCAGATGGACAGACCAGCAAGGAAATGGACAGAGATAGATCAGAGGCAAGACAAACCAGTGAGTGGACAGATCAGCGAACAGACGGACCAGCAGGTGGACGTTCCACCAGAGGAAAAGACGGACCAGTGAACGGACTGTCAGACAAGCGGATAGTCAGTTGGACACGCAGGTGGATGGTTGGACAACCGAATTGTCGGTCGGACTAATACATACACATTCGGACAAGTGGATGAACGAGCGGACAATCGAACGAACAATTGGACAAAATGACAGATGTTCGGACAAGTAGACAGACGACTGGACAAAGACGCGGAATATTTGGGTAAATGTTCGGATTCAAGTGCGGGAAAATTGGAATTTCTCTTAACCATCTACGACCAGAGGTAGATGGGGGGGGGGGAGGGCAGAGGAACAACTAGAACATAGTATACATATTAAACATATTTAAAAGCATAAAATTAAAGACACTAAATGCTTCAAAATACTCTTAAAATTGCTGCTAAAATATAAAAGGCCCCCCAAAAAATTAAGCAGATTTTGTACACAAATTTCTTGGTGTCGGAAAATCCGACACCATTTAATAATCATACAGATAATAGCTGTATTGTATAAACAAGTTACCCATAGAAAACGTAACTTGTAGTAGAATTACCGTCTATAGAAAACGGGATAT